CAAATTGATAAAAAATCTTACGTTTTATGAGGAAAAGTAAAATATTAGGGCTGATCTATTTAAAAATTCTAGTGGGGAAAACTCACCTCAAACTCAATTAAACTGAAATGATTAAAATCGGTGGAAACACTATTGGAGTTGTGGTAACAAAAATACCTCTATTGTAATGATATAAGCATATAATTCCGCTGTAACAAAATTGATGGCTTTTAAGCTCATAAATAAGGTATACGATACGTTATATATTTGATCTAGTTTTATTTTCAAAATAATTGTGATCTTTATATATTTTACTTAAACGGACACAACGCCATTACGGTGTATAACGGACTATTTCCGCAAGCTAATAATAAAAACCGCACTTCGAAAAAATATATAGGTATATATAACGATAAACAGTACCCAATTAAATGTAGAACTTATATATAAAAAAAAAGAAAAAAAAAGGGGTGAAACATTGAAAAGTAACAGTCTGAAACGTGTTTGAAACTTTCAAAAGCCACCCACATATTACTAACCCTTGGTCACGTGTTAGCCAAACCACACATCGGTCAGCCCGTATGTCGGACATTTAAATTCAATTACCTCCATGATGCAGTTTATTAAATGCCAATGTTTTTGTAGCCAACTGACGGTCCAGTACGCATGACTGCTTGGCACCCCAGCGCACGCGCCCCTACCATATGGGGGTAGAGATGCGATCTGGCGGATATTGTCGGAATTATCATCACTTTATCTAAAGTGTTCTTTAACATGTTCTTTAAAATGCCCACCAGGTGGTGCTAGTTACACCTTCGGTATAGAGGATATTTAAATACCACCACATGACGTCATACTTTTGGTAGTTTGCATATGAGTGGATAGGGGTTGTTTGTGGGATGTAGAGAGTTTTTAATAGTTTGATTTCACAACATGAATAGTTTCGGGACTATTGTTGGCTTTTTGTGCAGTAGACATACGTTCTATCAACCTACGAAAAATATTTCATTCAAATTATAAACACCAAACGGAAATGTTTGTAAAAATATTTTTAAAAACGTGTTTGTATTCCTCATTCTAAACCTTACATAACTTGTGTAGTCTAATACATAAATGTTTCAATTCCAATCCAAATTATTTTACGCACCTTGTCTTTTTCTTTTTAACGCCGTTGTTGTCACCCTTTTTACTCTTTGATTCAGATTTCTTTGGTGGTGGCGGATCCGTTGTTCCTGAAACTAATAATAATCAATTAATAAAAATTAAAAAAATAAAACATGGGTGATAAAAATTACTTTTTTGCTGTAAAAAAACGTTCACAACAATAGAAATTATGCCACATGATAAATTTGATAATTTGACTTTGACAAGCTTCAGGAACTTCTGTTGTATGTATACTATTACATAGACAATCATAACTGTAATTATGATTTGGCATTTTATTTTTAATTGGTGTGTTTCCATAAGCTTTTTTGGTTAAAAGTAATATTTAATAGTTAAAGGGAATAAGATTTATATAGATTTACAAAATTATCTTGAATTTTATTTAAAGGAAGTAGATGTCAACTCTGAAGAGTATTGCGAAATACCCCCCAAGCCCAAGTCCTATGTTCTGTGTGTTTTATTGACAACTAGTAAGAGTTTTGACGCAGTCTATCGGACAGTATCGGTCAAGGATAAAGAAGTATTACAAGTAAGTTATCAGATAAATCAAACTATGAATGTAACTATATCAAATTGTTAAATATCAACCCCTAACTACAGCCATGTATATATCCTACATGGTTCGATGAAAATCGAGATATTTAATCCAAAACCTAAACATTAACAATAAAAACTTAATTGTGTTAAACATTAAAATAATTATTTACTGCAATAAATAAAAAAAAACCATTGTTAAAACAAACAAAAAACAATAAAACCTAGTCCTACATTTTTAATTAAGCTTGACTCATCAAATACAATAATACTAGTGTACCTGTTGCTCGAAATCGAGCAATTGTCAAGTACCGGTATTATACAGAAGTTATTTCAAAACTACAGTAATAACAGTCATAATTTTCGATGAGTATAAAAAACTGGCAAAAATTATTCATCTTCACAAGTAATTGTGTACCTGGATTCCTTACTGTGAGACCAGGCCTCTCCTCTACACTTCTCATAAGTATAAGATTTCCTATTAATTGTCTCCTCCTCCTGTTTTCAACATTTCTTCTTTAAGTTCAAGAAATTTTCTGTTCTTACAACAAAACGGATTAACTGTTTAGATTTTGTTTATAACCTCCTAAATATTACAAACATCAATATTTACGCCCCAAAAAGCTGGTGAGTTTAATTTTATATACAGCTGGTTTTGTTTTTTAATTTGTTTTCAATGTAATTTATTATGGAGAAAATGCGACCTTTGAGAGCGTCTCGTGCCCTTAAGGGTAAGAGATTTTAAATTCTAAAACCTTTATGCAAAACTACGAATTGAAACGAATTATTTGACACCTCAAACGTTAAAATCAGTCCAGAAATAACGGAGGAGTTTTGTTCACAAAAAGAGCCCTCACGTATTAATATAAGAGATGCACAATAATTTGCACAGAAATGTCTGTGTGATGCCACCAATTTAACTAACAACCAAAATTAAATGCATATAACATGAATAAAATTTTTTAATAAGGTATTTTAATTTTTTATAACAGGAATGTCAACGCCAATTTTTGGGTGTCAACAAACATTTATTTTTACATTATTTATGTAATAAAATATATGATTAAGGTAAGCTCAGAAAAAGTCGATTGTCGATTAACGATTTACCAATTTGATTTAACAGTTGTAAATATGATATACCATGAAAACTGACACTCTGTTAGGAGAAACCACGAATTACCTTTAACAGTAATATATACCAATGCATATTTTTTATTGTGGTGAGAATTATTTCTGAGTAAAGAAATGAACAAAATATGTATTCCGTCTACAACATTGGTTGTATGATTATTTCCAAAGGCTCCAATGGTTTTAAAATCCAAAATAAATTCCTAAACGATGTTGTCAATGATTTTTTAACTTAATTCGATTGATAATATATTATACCTTAGCATCATTGGTCATAATAAACAGGCTGTTGCTACAGAGAGTGTTTAATGTTAAGGGGGCACTCCACCCAAAAACTGGCCTAAAGGCAAATTAAAAAAAAAAAAAATTTATTGTTTTATTTTTTTCTCTGGTTTTCCCAGAACACATTGGTGTGCAATATGTAGTAGTATATATTCTATGATTTGTAAGTACAAATGATCTGTAAAACTTTGGTTAAACCAACAGAATTGTGTTTCCTTTCGTTTCCGGGGCGATTACCGAAAGTTTGATTTTCACATGTTTTAAAATACGGGAACGGATGTAACTCAGGTTCTATGTGAGATAATCTAATAATCTTTTTTTTATTTTGAAGGTTATAGTGTATTCTACAAACTGTAGCATGGATTTACACAAATTCAGTTTTTAAATATTTGTAATTTAATTATGAAACAATATTTTTGAAAAAAAAATTGTTTTTCAAATTGTTTGATAATTTTTTTACATTTATAAGTAGTGGATTAAAATTTCCATGCTACAATTTGTGCACACACATGTGCTCTACAAAATAAAATTTACAAAATCAAGATATCTCATACCTACCTTAAGATACATCCGTTCCAGTAAACATCGATCTTTTCAGTAAAATCGACCCCCCCTGTGGGGGGGGGATCATGAAAAGGGGGTAACCCCATATTTTCTTTTTATTTTGATAGCTTAAACTAATGTGTAAAATAATAAAATGTTTCATACATAAATAAAAGATATATTTTAATTAATTACAAATGTCTATTACTCTGAGTTAAGTTAACAATTATTTATTTTTGCTAGAACACCTATATCTGTTGTTTCACGTCCAAAATATAAAGAATCACAAAATCGACATACTTCATTCCTTAGTACTAGGTTCAAAAGAGGGGTATTTACTGAATTATCCATGGATAAGGACAGTTGAAATGGGTGAAAACGATTATTTCTCATCATATCATATCCCTATTACAGTATTTGCATTGCGTGCGTGATCTCTTCAAGGCACCTTATAAAAATTACAAATAATACAATTACAAACAAACTGTAATGATAACACCATTTTTGTATCAAAACTGTATGCATTTTGTTTTTAAGTCAATAATGTAACTTGAAAAAGTTAATATGATTGACAACATAATTCAGTACAAACTCTGAAATTATAAAAACCTATAGGACGAAGGGCTTTCACGTGATATCATCCGAACCCGCAAAAGGCACATCTAGAGGATAAGAGCTTTCAATTGATATCCAACATGCCTATGAAAATAAATATTTAGGGGTCGATTTCCTGAATACAAAAAAACAACAAATTATTTTAGGCCTAATGTTGGATATTGTTTATTTCAATTAATTAACTAAACATATTCTTGTCATATTCATATCATATTTGGATTGTGATCTCGGAGAATAATTTATGTGTAGGTCTAGTAAGTATGTCTGAATCCGTAATGTTTTACAATATATTCAATGTAAATTGATTCTTAACCGTTGGAAAATAAAATAAAATTGAATTTAATTTTAAAACCCAATGCCTTTGTGCACTGACTTCAGTGAGAAAACGTTCTGTAACGTAATATACATTCCTAATGTATTTATGTGTTGGTTCAAGTGTTGTTCAATATGGTTTGTTTGTAATCCAATAAGCTAAGCACTGTACAGTTCACCCACCTTGCGGTATCATGTTGGCGTTGTCCTGCAGCTCGTGTTCCTTGCGCTGCTGCTGAGTCGAGGGGTGTTGGAACATGACGGTAATGTCGTGGTGATGTTGGTCCGGAGGAACCTCGTGTCCCAGCCCCAACATCACCTGGATGCTGTGGACGTTCCTGGAGTCCGACTTGCACAGGATGGTCGAGGTGCCGGGGAGCTGCCCTCCGGTGAAGTCGGAGAACAGCGAGTCGTCGAAGCCCGAGCCCTCCATCACATCCAGGATGGGCTTGAAGAAGTCGGAAATGGTGCCGGTGTCGGACGACGTGTTGGAGCCGAGGATGACCAGATGGTGGAGAAACTCGAGGAAGAACCTCCAGAAGACACGGCGGAATCCGCGGGAAAATATCACCAAGACATACGAGTCGACAAGTCTAATTGGACGAGAAGGAAACACGCTTCAATTAAACGGCGTATAAAATAAACCGATCGGGATTAAATAATACGACTAATCAAATTCCTGCTAACAGGCTGGCTCAAATTGAGTTAGACCCAATTCAGCTAACTACGTTCAATAAGCTATATTGTCACAATTGTGGTTCCTCTAACTCAGTCTAGAGCGGGACTAACCGCGAGAAGCACGTTACCTACACTAGCAGTACCTTCCGCATCGGGAATTTATATATTAATAATATTTTTTGCCGGTCTCGATGTGTGTGCAGGAGTGGTTGTTGCGCGGGGAGAGGAGTGAGGACCAATGGGAGCGAGGGGCGGAGCCTCGTCAGCCAATGGCGGTGGAGAGGGGTGATGACGTAGACACGGTGAGGATTGCAACACGTTGTTTACAAAAATGTTTTTCAAAAAAGTTTGTATAAGTGGAAGAAACAATTTTTTTTAATATAAGAAAAGTTAAAGTTGTACCCAAACTTTTGAAGCTAATGGGTAAGATTATTTCAAGAAAGATAAACAAACAATTATTTTTGAGCTAATTATGATAAAATATTAATTACGTCAACAGAATAACATGTAAACAATACCAAAAATAAATCACGGTTCCAAGATGTCATACACCACATAATTATCGAGGGTAATTTGATAATTTGGTAGTTATAGGCTATAGGAAAAATTAAAAAAAAATCAGCGAAGTTATATAATTGAAATGCTTCTTTTATACGCTTAAAAAGTATTATTTACTTTAAACCTGCCCAAAATTTGTAAAATGTTTAGGCTCAAAAATTCTAGAAGCCAATAGTTTGGCCCAATGAAACATCTTTGGGATCACGATTATTTTTGTCGAATGTACCGGGTGTCCCACGAAGAGGTCCATATCTTTCAATTGATATGACAGACGTATAGAGCGCGCTCCAGGCTTGAAATTCAACAGTCAAGACTAACACGTATGTAAAGGTGTTGCCATCGAGTCTCAATTAATTCTGACTGATCCAAACAAAATGTCAGGAAAAAAACCAAATCAGCAATCTTACTTTAAGGGTAAACCTACTTTTTATCCCGCCATTTTGTTCTTATGTGTCAGAATAAACTGATACTCAGGGGTATTTCTTTTACATATGTTATGACGGTTGAGTTTCAGGTTTGTAGAGTGTTCGGTGCGTCTAATATACTAATTAAAAAATAGGGACCTCTTCGTGGGCACCCGGTATGTTACATCATACTTTATTAGTGAAAAAACCAGTAACATTAAATAACAACAAACACATAACCTGTATTGTTGTATTGTTAGCTGTAAAAATATTCTATGCTTACAAAATAAAATTGGTCTAACATAAACCAAGCCAAATTGATTATGAGTAAAAAAAAACTGTTTAATACCAGTTGATATATTTTGTACTTCACTGAAAAAAAAAACAAAACGGTATAGAAATTCAGAAAAAAAGTAGACGATCATTTAAATTTGTTTAAATTAGGTTTATGTATTTGTACTCACCAGTTGATATTATAGCTGTGTAGTATAAGTAGTTGTTATGGTAAATGTATAAGTTGTACCTCAGAGTAATAAAACGTTGTACAAACAAACGTAAACGACTGCTAAGCGTTACACTTTTATATTTATCTTGGTGGAATGTAAAAATTGTATAGGTTTTTGACCGCTTTCCCTAAAAGCGTTTGAAAGTTGACTTAATTTTAAAAAAATTACTGGCATCAGCAATAAAATATTCGTTTCAATGAAAAATAAACTTCAAACCACTGAACTAAAGAGCAAACTGAAAATCATAAGCTTGGAGAGGAAAGATATATCGTAGCACAGACTCAAGCATTTTAAGTTTCTCTTAGTTTGTTCACATTGGCTTACAAAATAGTCAAATGTCACGCTGCAAGTAAAATATGTCCTCATTACAGGTGAAAATGTATAAAACTACATGATTGAAAACATAAGATAAAACTATTACTGCCTCTAGGTGTGCTTTAATCCAAATATGAGTGGAAGAGTGGTGACTGGAGTGAGATGCATTGAGTAGCTTTGTTTCTTAATAAGACCAACCGTTTCTTGAACCTGGATTAATAAATAAAAGCCTAACAATAAAAATAAGAGCTGGTTCAGTTTTAAATCATAAAAAAAGTGTCTAACTTTTCTCAGGATCGAACCAGAATGTTTTTAGGCGAGCTCTGTATCCACTAAGCCACCCAGCAAATTACAGTATTTTAAAATAGTTATTCACATGAAAACAGAGAGTATTAAATAGTCCACTGTAAACCTTACCTAATATTGTACTGTATCCAACTACTAACACAACAATACACTATCTATCGCTACATCAACATTACCCAAGCTAACTAACAATAGCAATCAAAACTTAGCCCTGAACGCTCACCATAGGATTGCGCCTTCATTGAATAGGGTAGTCAATATAGGTACAGCGCTCATGTTGCGTCCAACATAATGCGGTTAAGTAGATTAAATAGCAGCATTGTTTTGTTATATTATAGCTTTCCTGGCCAAAGATTCACCTTGATTTTGCTGATCGATTGTTTTAACTGTATTGCCATACCAAATTCTTACCTTTGTTATTGCTTTTTTCACAATTATTTTGTACTTCATTGTTAAATTATTGTTTTCCTAGTCAAGATTATATTTCCTTTACCAATGTTGCTCTGCTCCTGCCATAGATTTAAGTTATGTGTTAAGTTTTCTGTTAAAATGCATGTTGTCACCACATAGGCTTCTTGAATCCACATTGTAAATTGGTGATCTTGCCGATGGAATAAATAAATAAATAAATAACAGCAAAAGGTAAGTAAAACAAGTTCTACAACTTCTACACGAGATAAGCATTGTAATCGTGATAACTACATACACTTTAAAATATTTTTGAATCTCTTGCGAGGATTTGCATTAATTTCATTCATTAGAAACTGCTTTAGCCTGACTCATCATCGATGGTAGTTTAAATACAATCTTCCAAGCAAGCAGTGAACAATCTGCACTGCACACTACTGTACCATGTGTTAAACATACTTTGTTACAGTTGTGTATCAGCTGAAGACAAAGGTTAGATGAATCTGGTTTATAGCGAGAATGTTTGTGCACCATCCGTTCACTGATATTAACAACATTTAAACTATTTTAACTTAATTTATTATTTTTAATTTGTAATGTATGGTCTTCTAGTACCATACCTAAAGAATAAAGCACACATCGTTGAATTTACCCTAAAAGAAAAGATAAAAATGTGGTCGACATCAGCGCACTCAAATGCCACCAATGTGAAGTCTACTTCCATCATTCTCAGTTAATTATACTACTTAAACGTTTTGGCATTGATATAGGCCTACAAAATAAACGAATGGATGTTGGATCGTAAAGAGACAGAACATAATTCCATTCGTCTGTTGTGTGGAATGTCTGATTATAATCGCAATGATTGTTGTTTGGTGAATATTCTTGACGTATTACTCAGTGATCACAAAGTGAGTGAAGCTGGTGTTTGACCTTTGGATATGTTTCTTTGAAAAGGAGATCTTTTTATTTTAGACACAATAAAAGCCCTGACTGATTTTTGTACAACCCCCTAAATCTCTCCTCGCAGTTCGAAGAAAATTATTAAATGATGTATAAATAGAGATAATATTGTTAATATATTCAGGGATTAAAGTGTGAAAAATTACAAACATTCTTGGCAGTAAAATTAAATGTTTTTAGAAATATGATTAATTTTTTTGTGCGCCGTTTTAAGCGAAGCAGTGTTTATCACAACTCCACTATAACATACTAAATTCTAAACAAAATCGTTTAAGCTGGTAAAAAAACCAATTTCCGTTATTTTACTGGGGTTTGAAAGTTGCCATAAAAAATCCAATTACAAAAATTGGACAAACTCCTGGAGATAACAAAGATTAGTACCCACATACCAAATTTCATCAGTAAAGGATACTTTCCATGCCATCAAGAGGATCTCATCATTTAATACTTAATTTTATTTTATATAACTGTTGTTAACATTTATTTTCCAACAGAATTTGGAATATTGTGTTCATTGCAGTTATAAAGTTAGTGTAGGCATTAAAGCTAAAATATTAATGATGCTAACATTTTAATTTATTTTTCATCAATACATCAATATATAGCATTATATAAGATGACCAAAAATACCAGAGTTTACTTTCCTTTCATAAAAGCCTATGTCGACATTCTAAATTTCATAAGCGAGTCAATGCTTGTCAACAAGTTAAGGGACGAGCGAGCTGCAATGAAATAATCCATCACTTAATGCCAGGTGATCGAGGGTGTCATTCCAGTCACTTAAATCACTAACACATATTTAATACAAAATAGACCTAATAATTCAAACAACATTTCATTACGAAGTCGCCAATCAAACGAAAACTATAAAGCACTTACAGGTTTATCAAACACATAGACGGTTTACCCCAGCATGATCCCCTCTTGAATTACAAAACACCGAAGTCACTTATGCGCCGCGGTATGACAGGGTGCCCGTATGGTCCAGCTGACGCACGCCCCGCACGTCTCGCACGCGTTCTCACACGCAGCGGCGCCCGCATCACCAGTAGCTGCAATCTCAGGCCAGGACAAAGCCACTCCAGTTTACCCCAGTTCTAAAGGTTTTCACAAATACCGGGTAATTTGGTGTTTTAGCGCTGCAGGAAACCGATCTAAAAGATAAGTTTCCGTAAATGCGGGCAGAGGTGAGTGGGTTCACGTAGGTAACATACCACGGGGGTTTTGGGGTAACGGAAAAATTATGAGATATTGTGAAGATACGAATTAAAGTACCTACTGGGAACGCAGCAACATTGAAGTGGGTAAGGCTAAGTACTGATCTATGTTACCAAGTACTTAGTAATGTTGGATGCATTGCACGACGTCCAATGCTTAAGTAAAACCCCTTTTCTTCATAATTAAAGCCCGAGGACTTTTATTACAGGAATTGGTGAAAGGGGGCGTCTACACAAAAAAATACTTTATTTTGACACATCGTTTGTAAAAATCCGTCCTTTATTAACGGAGAAGTAGTGTTTCGTAGAAATCGCCTTCACGTATTATATATAAGGATTTTTTTAAATACACAAGTTGTATTTCAAATATACAAAAAATAAGAAAGGTGCCAAAAGAGTAGAATATTTTTGCTCCTGTACGCTAATGTAAATGAGAAACTTGTTTCGCTTTTTAAAGCAGGGCAAAGGGTTTAAAATTAACTAGGATTGCTCTTTCATAGCAGTGAAAGTCAATTGAGCGAACGGATCGTGTTTCATGGTTTTTAATAAAACAATAAATGAAAGCACTTGTTATAGATACATACAACAAATCTATACTATTATATAAAAATCTAGTGATGTCTGT